CATTTCCGAAAGCTTTCTATGCCTTGGGGCAAAGAAAAAAACAAGGACCACCCTGTACTTCCTACTGTAATTATCTAGTTTAAGTATTTGAACCAAAAGGTTCAAAAAATTACTTTCTGGAATTGGGAAGCCATCCAAAGAGTGGTCTCCGGTGGCTCAATCTGGAGCGATCAGTTGATCTCCAAGCCAGGCAGAGTCTGGCCCAGCCACGCGATCCGGTCCCTTCGGCACATGGGCTACATGCGGCTGCCACCCCCCTCACAGGGCATGGGTGGGGGGAGAGGAGCACAGACATGTATGGTCATGCTGAGAACAGCCCAGCTCCACTCCCCATGGCACCTGTTACATGTCATCTCCCCTTCCTCTCCCCCCCACCTTCCAGGCATAAGGGGGAAGTCAAAAGGGATTTTTCATGGGGAAAAGGTTGGGGAACCCCAAACCTACACTATCACAGGCATTGCTGAAAAAAAAAAAAGAAAATCATTAGCTGTTTCTGGTATCATTCTTAAAAATGCAAGAGTTGCATAAATCTAGGTTTGCTCAGTGCCCTCAGCACTCCGAGGGTCTGCCAAGGAGAAGGAGGCTGTGACTTGCTCTGTTCAGCTCCAGAGCTGTCCAATGGGAGCAGTGGGGGAAAGGGGCAGGCCTGCAAACTTGGGCTCAACGTAAGGACTTCCTGACAAGTGGATCTCATCCCCCAGTGAAAGGTGATGCCTCCTTGGATTTCCTATCCCCTGATATCTTCCTGTAGATGTCATTCATTCCGTCATTTAGTCAGCAAACATTAAGGCCTATGCTAGGTGCTAGGGATACAAAGAAAGGCAAAAACATGATGGTCAGGGTTTGGGCTACATGGCTTCTAACAGTCCTTCCAGTCCCCACCTTTTAAAAATTAGAGCTTGCCGGAGGAGGCGGCTGGGGAGCACAGTATAAAGAATGCTGGCCTGGGAGTCAGGAAGACTTGAGTTCAAATCCAGTCTCAGATACTTCCTGGTTGTATGACCCTGGCAAGTCACCTAACCCTGTTTGCCTCAGTTTCCTTATCTGTGAAATGAGCCAGAGAAGGAAATGGCAAACCATTCCAGAATCTTTGCCAAGAAAACCTCAAATGGGGTCACGTAGAGTCAAACAAGACTGAAATGAGTGAACAACAAAAATGCCAAAAGACCATTCACCTTGTTTAAGCCAGGGCCACACAAACATTAAGGGGGAGAGCCAGAACCAGATCCAGTTCTCTTTGCTCAGGAAAGGCCCAAAGGGAGTGACGTCCCTTGGCCCCAGGCCTGAGGGACAGTCTCTGGCCCAGGTGAGGCTGGTCAGGAAACAAGAACTCAGGTTTAGACCGAGACCACGGAGAGTCGAAGCTCAACATTTCTGGTTAACAGAGCTTGAGTTTCCTTGTAGGAAACGCCCTAGAACAACCTCTCCCTTTGCCCCCCCCCCCCGTCTCATTGCCCCAGGGGAGCTCCGGAGCCCTCTCTAGACCCCACTTTCTTGGCGTTGGTGGTGGAAGGACTCAGTTTTTCTGTCCCCTCTGTCTTGCACACAGACCTAAGTGAAGGCCACTTCCTGGCTCTCCCTTCCTGTGATACAACAGTTTCTTAGCAACTGTCTCTAGGTGACATTTTCCAGTGTCCCAGATTCTGCCGTTCTTCCTCCTCAAACATAGCCCGACCTCTCTAATTACTTTACAGGGTTAACTGGAATTTACTGCCAAAGCCCCATGGAAGCTTCCAGATTTTTACATTTCAGCGCAGCCAAGGGTGCCACCAGTGGGGCTATGTGGCCCTCTAGGTCCTCAAGTGAGGCCTTTTGACAGAATCCAAACTTCACAGAACTCCCTTCATAAAAGGATTTGTTCTGTAAAACTTGCTCGATCAAAAGGCCTAGAAGGTCACATGTGGCCTTGAGGCCGCAGCTTTCCCACCCCTGCCCTATCCCAATACATTTACAGGTCCAGTCCCGACCCCTATCCCATCCCAAAGCATTATAGGAGGTGCCAGTGGGAGGGGGGATGACCATTGTCAGGGCTGCCTTAGAGAGAACGCTCACAGTTTCAGGATCGCAGTCAAGCCTTGGTGAGTGCTGAGATCCGTCTCACCTCAGAGATCATATGATCCCCTCGACCCATCTGAACCTTTCTCATCAATATCAGCCAGGTCTAAAAGCCCTGCTAGGGTGCTTCTTCACAACTACCACGTGGACTGAATAGCACCTGTGAGGTACCTTCTAACTCGGGGTCTCTGCATGTTTCCCTTTCTCAGAGAACAAAGCTTCCTCGTTCGGTCCCTCCTCGTGAGGACGTTGGCTTTGTGGGGACTGTATTCCAGAGTGGAGGGGGGCCTGCCTTGTCTGCAGCCGAGTACAAAGCCTCTCTTTTCATGGTGGGGAGCAGAGAGCAGGTTCAATGGTGGCCTTCAAGTCTCTCCTCTTCAAAGATGACATTCCATATTCACCCCAAGGTTCCTGTTTTCAGGCAGTCGGGGTGATGAGTATGCAAGAGACAGAGAGCTTCAAAAGCAGCTCACCCCAAAAGGCAGTCCACTGACAGCCCTTCATCATCCCCATCCTTACAGAGGACAGAATGCAGTTTTCAGACCCGTTTGGAAGAGCTCACCGCCCTCCTGGGCCCAGGGGTGGGATCACTGGGGCCGAGGCCCATGACTCATGTCCCCAGATGAGCCTCTGACTCCATCGGTGGTGACTCAGGGATAGAAGGAGCCGAGCTGCTTTATGCCGGTCATGCAAGCCTACGGGCACAGCGGCAGGAGCAGTGATTGTTGGGAAAGGGGCCATTTTCTCCTCACCTGTTGACAACAGAGTCTGGCACCAGGACCTGAGGTGTCAGCTGCAGCTTTGGGGCCACGGCCCCTACATCTAGGAAGCCGGGTGGCCTCTGTTTTATCAAATGAGGGCGGGGGTTTGTCAACCGAAATACGCAGCAGAAGCTCTGCGGACTAGGTTAGAAAGCTGTGGAGAGGAGACTCTAACCCTGGGTCGTGGTAAAGAGCTGGCCGGCAGGGCAGACCCTTGGCATCTCCTCAGACTTCTCGTATTTCCCACTGGTAGGGGAGGGGCCTGTCATTAAGGGCCCAATCCCTCTGTGGTGAAGCCAGTGAACCCCTTCTCAGAACCACGTTAAGTATATAAAATCCGTGGGATTACAAAGGAAACCAGGTATTTTGAATATCATCAACCTATTTAAAAAAAAATCATGGACACTTACCTGGGAGGGTGCCAGGCAGGACAGCTCAGAGGCGACATAGCTGCTTAGTGGTGACTGTCAGATAAAGAGACGTTGAGTACACCCGAAGCCAGTATGTTCCCTGGGCGAACACCGATGGCTGCTCCCCCATCCGACTCCGGAGGCCAACTGGACCTCGCTGGGCACTGACCACTGGGAAGGGGAGGAGGTGCCATCAGCCAACTCTGCACTGGGCGGTGCAGTGGTCAGAGCTGGGCTTTGAGTCTGGAAGACCTGGTGGATCCTCTCTCAGATGCTTCCTGGCTGTGTGACCCTGGAGGAGTCACTTGATGTCTCAGGCTCAGTGGCATCTACTTCATAGGGTTGTTGTGAGATAACATAGATCAAGTGTTTTGCACACCCTAGAAATTGAAGCCATTGTCACTCGCAAGCTCTTTTGGGGGGCGAGGGAAGCAGGATTTTCTTTTCAATCTTCTGTAGGTCTGGCTCTGGGTCTCTGCTTATTAAGTAAATCAAGGCTGGCTCCCCCACCCCCCATTTCAGAAGCCTGAGCCTTGTCTGATCAGGTGTTCTTGGTGAATCTGATTTCGGCCTGTCAACCTCCTTGCTGATGGGCTCTGACTGGCCCCACAGGGTTGGACCTTGGAGTGCTCCCCGCTAATCTGAGGAGGTAGGCTGAACACTGATGCAACAGGGGCCCAGGAGAAGGACTGGGACTGCTAGGTTCCCACCCAGAACGGACTTTTGCAATCATGGGGTCATCATTCCAGAGCTGGAAGGGATGTTAGAATATCTAGTCCAATCTCCTCATTTTACAGATGGGGAAACTGAGGCCCAGGGAAGAGAAGCAACCCTCCCTAAGGTTACACAGGTAGCATCAGAGATGGAATTTGAGCCCAGAGCCTCTATTTCCACTTTAATCCGACCCAACTCAACAAATGCATACCAACTATACCAAGTAATGTGCGTAATGCCCCATGCTGGGAGTTCAGGAAGAGGCAGAGAGCAGTGAAACACGGCCTGACCTCAGGGAGGGTCCAGCTTAGTAAGGGGGCATGAGAACAGAGACTTGTGGAATACAAACTGAGTGTTCCTGGAAAGCACCTAGGGCTGAGTTCACAGCAGGGAGGGAGGATGTCTGAGGCGACCAGCAGGAGCTTCATGGAGCAAGTGGGATATGGGCGGGATCCTGAGGGGTCCAGCTGGGAGAGATGGGGGGGGAAGTATTTTAGGCCAAGGGCACGATGTGAGCAAAGGCAAAGAGGTGGGAGATGGGGGGGTGGCGTGTGGACCGACTTGTCTGAAGGGAAGGGCGGGCTCAGGGATGGTGGGGGAGCCTGACAAGGAGGGTCTTCAACATCGAGTGAACGGTGATCTGGTGGGTGATGGGTCATCACTGAAGGGACCTGGGAGTACGGGATGGACTACAGAGGGAGACCATCCACTCAGGTGGCCACACCCTTGTGGAAATGGAACGGAAGGGAGGTGAAGTCAGTGCTGACAGGACACGTGACCGACTGGTGTGACAGACGGAGAAGTGGGAAGCGGCAAAGCTAACTTGGCGGGGTGTGGGGTCTGCAGGATAGGCTGAGCAGGGGAGAACGAGGTGCAAGGATGTCCCCCATTTCTGCCACGGATGCCCAGGACCACGACATCCGGGGTTCCCTTGAGCTATCCCAGCACGGGGGAAGTCATTCTGCTTGGGAGGACGCTGGTCTCTCCACAGCTGCCTCGGCCGCCTGAAGGACCTTCAGCGGCCCTTATAACACACACCTCACCCAGCCTGTTTCTGGTAACTTTAATCATAAAACCCAAAAACATTCATATAAATAAAACTGTTGTGTAAAATACAGTTAGCTCTTCTTTCTACTAAATCCCCTCTCCAACCCACACTCAAAAAATCACATAGAAAACCCAAGACAGAGAAATAAGTCGTACAAATATACAGGGTCCCTGATGACTAAGTAGCTCGCAGCCTTGGGGGCCCCTGGGGGGAGGGCAAACCAGGCCGCTGACACCCCTAAACCTGGTGCCGCCTCCATGACTCGGGAGGGTTTCCAGCCCCCCTGCCAGTGGCCATGGAGGTGTCAAAAGGTGGGTTGGCCTCACGGAGGGAGGGGTGGGGAAGGCCCCCCAGAGGGGGCAGCTGCTTCTGCCGTCAGTCTATTTAAGATGCAGTGGGTGAGTAAACTAGGAGGTCAAGCGGGGAGGTCCTGCTGTTTCCCCACCTCTCGGGGAGACAAGAAAGGACGGTAATCACTTGTCCCCCCAGAGGAAAGGTTCGGTCTTTTAGCCACTTGAATCTGGCCAGTGAAGAAGAGGAAGGAAGAGCTCCTTCCGTGCGATGCCCAGAAGGCCGGGCAGCCTCTTGAAAGGCTGTGGGAGGGGAAGCTCTGCAGAGCCAAGGGCAGCCTTGGGCCCTCCTCCCTTCCCAACTGGCCCAGGCTCTGATCTGGGCGAGCTTTCTGAGAGGAAAGCCTCCCCTTTGCGACTGCCCCAGAACCTGCTGCCCCCCTATCCCAACTCTTAGAGCGAGACAGCAGACACCAAGACACACACACACACAAACACACACACACATAGAAAAAGAAGACCCCACATTTCCCTTCCAAAGCCAGGGCCTGCCTGAGGCTGCACCACAGGGGCGGGGCGGGACGTGGGGGGCGGGGCCTGTGTCAGGAGCACTTCCAGACGCACACAGCCAGGGTGCCCCCGAAGTACAGGTAGAGCAGGTTTTTCACCTCGTGGGTGATCTCAAAGCCGAAGCCTTCGCCGATCACCACATGCCAGGAGGAGCCAAACTTCTTGTCCATGGTTTCTTTGATCATCTTGGCAGCACTCTGCAAAGGACAAGGCCTGGCGCGTCACGGGAAGGGTAGGGGCCAATAGCGGTCACTCCAGAGCCCCAGATAATTGGGAGAGCTCCCATTTACAGCCTGGCTCATGACTTACCAAGTACCTTCCTTCAAAACATCCCGTGAGGTCACTAGGACGAGCACGCCCACCCCATTTTTACAGATGAGGAAAGCAAGTCTCAGAAAAGCAGAACAGTTTATGACCAGCGAGTGGAGAAGCTGGGGCTTCACTCTCAGTTGGTCTGACTCCAAGTCCAGTGTGCTTGCCCCCAAGGCCCACCACCTATGGGTGGGCTCTTGGTGGACTGCCGGAACTCCAGAGTCAGGAGTCCTGGGCTGGAATCTGTCCTCTGGGCCTTAGGAGCAAGCCCCTTCACCTTTCTTGGCTTCAATTTCCTCATCGGGCCAAGGGGGCCAAGACGTGGCAGTGACCCTGCCTATGTCGGGGCGAGGGGGGCGGGCTGTAGAGTACTGCTCTAGAATGGAAGCCCCTGCCATCACGACACTGCTGGAGAGCTCTTGGCAGGAGCAGGGACAGCCCCAGTTCTGTGGGTGCGGCCAGGACCGGACTGGCAATTGCTGCTCAGGCTCACTGTCTCATCCGTGGAGAACGGACTGACGTCTCCCAATCCCATGTTCCCAGGGGGATTCAGCAGGAAAGATCAAAGTCAGAGTAACACTGACCCTGCCTGCACATGGACCAGGTTAACGAGCTGGTCCTCCCTGGGACCTTTCCCTTCAAAGCACCCCCCACCCCAACAGGCCTGTGGTCTTAGTCCCCAAACACTCTCCAGCTTCCCTCAACGACAACGAAGGGACGCTGGCTGCCACGAGGGAGTCTGTCCTTTAGGGCCCGGCCGGGGACGGAGGAGCCACAGTCACCATCCCCTGCGGGCACTGGCCTTGGTAAAGGCATTGCTGAGATTCCTTGAACTCCCCTTAGAAGAGGCCGTGCTCCAAGTCACTTCAGAAAGAACCCACCTCCCTCCCCACATCATCCTTCCCCCGGCTGTTCCTGAGCTGGGCTGCGCAAGCTCGGGGCCCTGCAGCGACAGGTACCTCGTTATTGTTGGAGTACTTCTCACAGGCCGTGACACACAACTCCATGGTCTCCACTCTCATCTCCTCTGGCATGTCTGAGTGCTGGGGGAGGAGGGAAGGACAGATAGACGAGGCTCAGCACAACACGCGGCAAGGCCTAGCCAGCTAGATCTGTTACTGAGCTCGAGAAGGCTGGTCTGTCAGCTCCTCTGAGCACAGCCGGGGAGAGGCCCCAAAGCCTGCACACAGAGTCAGCGGGGCATGGAGAGGAATAAGCACTGCCACGATGGGGAGCTGAGGCACAGAGAGGCTCGCCGGCTCGCCCAGGGTCACAGATGGCAAAGCCAGGACCCAACCCAAGGCAGGGCCTTTCTCGCTCTAACCAGCCCAGGGCTTGCAGAGCATGCCAGCACCTCACATACAACCCCGGAGCACATCTGAACCATGCGTCAGAACTGAAGAAAGACACTCCCAGATCTGAGGAGGATCCCGGAGATGAAGAGAGGAACGTCCCGGAAGACTGTTTCCGAAAGGTCCCTCCCCTTTTGAGTATCCTTTCTCCTTCCCTACCAGAACTTACTCTGACCAGAGGAAAGGTCTGTAGCCTCTTATAATCTGCGTCATCCTTCTTCCCTTCTTCTCCCATGATCCTTCCACTGTGAGCAGCTGGGGAAAGAGGAGCGCTCCTGGGGAGGTGCTAATGGTAGCAATTAGGGTGAGCCAGGAAGGCTAGGCAGGCAGGCCCAGCTGTCTCCGAGGCAGGAGAAAATGCTCACCCCCAGGAGATACTGCCGAAAACAGGAAAAACCAGAACAAAGAAAGTTGATTTTAAAACCACAAATCACAAATTGGAAAGGTCACAGAAACTATCTGATCTCCCCGCCCCCATTTTAACGCCTCCACTGTCCCTTCCCAAATGGCCAACTTGTCTGCAGATTGGAGGATGAGTCAACAGGAGATGCTGAGACCTGAGCAAGAACATACTGATACGATGCTTTGAGCCCACGCTCGCACGAGGGAGACAGAGCTTGATTATACGCCAACAATACTCTAAGCACAGTCTAGGTGATGGTATTAGACGATTCATCAAGTAACAAACAAGTACGGGCCGCCTGCCTACAAGGTGACGGGCACCGTGACTTCGCTCGGAGGCTTGGGGGTAATTCATGCTTGCAGAGCCCATGAGCAAGGAAGAGCAGGAGCTGAGTAGGCCCTCCCCCTTCTGAGTAATGGGAACACACAAGTCCAACTGGCTCGTGGGCAAACCCGTCAGAGCTCCCTTGCAGGGCTCCTTCCCCTCTGGTCTAGCTGGACTAGGAGCGCAGAAACGTGGGTGCTCAGCCTGGCTCCACTGCGTGTGTGTCCAACCTCACCCTCTGTTTCTTTGTTAGTCAGGTGGGGATAATAATACCTGCCCTGCACACTTCAAGGTAAGAGTGAAATGGAATAGCGCATGTGAAAACATTCTGACAAGTTAAAAACACCGCATCCAAGGACAGTCACCTCCCTTATCCAGGGCTTATTCTTCTCATTTGTTAAAGGGGAGGTTCGACTACGTGCCTCTGGAGGTCTCTTGCAGCTCTCCCACTCTCCGTAATTCCAGTTACAAAGAGCAGCAGCAGCAGCACGGAAATGCTTCTTTGAGCAGACGCCTGCGTCATCTCTATCTCCTTCATCAGAAATGTCTTAATGATTTGGCAGGTTCTTTTCCTTAAATTCACTGCCGTTGCTCTTGGGCTTTTCACAGTAATAATCCCTGATAAACTCACACATCCATGACATTTTATGGTGACAAAGAGCCTCGTGTTTCCAGCCTTTCTATCCCATCCGGCTGCCATCCTTCTCGTCTTGGTCCTCACCTTCAGGGCTAGATTCCTTAAAAAGGTTTTCTATGGTGGACGCCTCCACTCCCTTACCTCTCACTCTCTCTCCAATGTTTCACCACCTGGTATTCACCTCCCACGCTGCACTGAAGCTCCTGCCTCTCCCAAAGGTTACCATGATCTCCCCATCATCAGATCCAATGGCGGATCCATTTTCAGGATCCATTTTCCCAGATCTCTGCAGAACTGCATAGGAGACCACCTCCTGCTACTAAACGCCCTCGTCTCTCCTCCAAAGGCCTCATTCACTGAATAAACATGTCCTCAGCACCTATTCTGTGTCTGACCTTTAGATTCTTCTGCTTCTCCAAGAGCATCTTCACTTCCTTGGCTGGCTCCTTCTCTCGTTCCCTGCCCATTCCGAGGTCCTCTTCTCTGTCCTCCATATGCTTTCCTTTGGCCACCACTATGCAAATGACCTCTCAAGTGCTACCTCCAGCCCTTCTGAGCACTAGACTTAAATTCCCGTCTATCGATCGGCCGTCCAAACAGTTCCTCGGACTCAACACGTCCAAAACATCGTCATTCCTCCTCATGGAGTCATCCATGCTGGAGGTACAGCTCTTTGCTGTTCTCTCACACATGAATCCTCAACGTTCTCATTTTCTCTCACTTTTCCCAGGAAAAGGCCTCAGCTACTGAGGCCTGTCAATTCTTTTTTTTTTTTTGTGGGTGAGGCAATTGGGGTTAAGTAACTTGCCCAGGGTCACACAGCTAGTAAGTGTTATGTGTCTGAGGCCAGATTTGAACTCAGGCCCTCCTGACTCCAGGGCCAGTGCTCTATCCACTGCACCACCTAGCTGACCCACTGTCAATTCTTCCTGCACAATGTTTCAGGCATTCTCTGCTCAATTCCCAAATCCAAGCAGCCTCATATTTCCACCCAGCTGGATCAAGGCAACAGCCTTCCAAGAGCTCTCTCTGCCTCCAATCCAACTTTCCTTTAGCTTTGAGACGACCCTTCCCTCTGCATGGACCTTGTCACATCACTCTGTTCCAATGGCTTTCTACTGCTTTCTGAGTAAGATTCAAGGTTCCAGGCCTCGGAACGCCGGTGCCCCCCGCCTCTCCGGTCCTACAGGGCCATGCGCTTACTCTCTAAGCTCCAGGCAAACTGGTCCACTTCATGTGCCTAGGTACTACCTACACTTTCCTACTTGGGAAGTTTTGCTCACACTGGTCCCTCTGACTCTAACATTCTCTTCTCCTCTTTACCTGGTGAATTCAAAAATCACCTCATTTACTCAAGGACGCCTTCCTTAATCCTCCATCAATATCAGTCTTTCCTCTTAGACCTTCCATAGCACATTGTATTATACAATGAAGTCAGGAAGACTTGGGTTCAAATCCAGCCTCAGACACTTAGCAGCCGTGGCCCTGGGTAGGTCGATTGATCTCTCTGTGCTTCCATTTCTTCAGCTATAAAATGATGAAGCTGAACATGGTGGTCTTTATGGTTCCCTAGGGGGCTGCTGATTCTTCCACTTTGGGCATTCCCTCCAGCCATGCTGTCTGCAATCCCTCTGTAACTCAGCAGATGGTCCTTGAAGCCCGTCCGGTTGGTGTCAGCATTTGTACTCTGTGGGTACAACGTTCAAGGCCCAGCATCATCTCCCCATCCCCCAGTGAGGCGTCAGGCGAGGTCTCTAGGGAAGGATATTTGCCTAAGTCGACCAGACTGAGGGTCAATCTAAACCTTCTATCCCTGCCGAGTAAGACTTACCATAGTACTGCACACAGCAGGCCTTTGCCAGAGAACCTCTGACTTCTGGCTGGTGACTGACTCCCCAGCTCCGAGGGGCCTCAACCATTCTCACTTCACTCCCTTGAGGACTCATCCTCTGTGCTCTCTTCCCCCATTAGAATAGAAGCTTCTTGAGCACAGGAACTGTGGGTCTTGTTTGTTTGAATTTGCATCCCCAGTGCTTTGCCCATAGTAAGAACTCAATTCTCTCTCCTTCTTCTTTCTCTGTCTCTCCCCCTCCTCCCTTCCTCCTATTTTATGAAAAGTGGCTGAAGTGGCCCAGCCTTCCCAGCAGGAGGGACACAATCGGGTGGAGGCCTACAGTGATGTTGCACAGTGGCAAAGTAATTCACTCTGGCCACACAAGACAAAAGGTCAGCCAAGGAGCTTCAGAAGGGAGAGTCATTAGACTAATATACTCCAGGCAGGGTGTTGATTAAAAATAGTGCCTTCTCCTCTTTGACGACAGCTGACCTCCCGGGCCTCTTCCCCACCGATACATAAAGGCCAATAAAGGAACATCACCAATGGCTGGCTCTCCTCCCTTGGCAGCAGGCGAGTGCCCCAGGCTGTGGTTGGGAGCCGGGCACAGGGAAGAGGCTGGTCCTCTCCTCCTGCCTCACTCACCCTGGGAACTCAGTGCACAGGCCACGCACAGGGGCCTGCTTTTTCTCCGCTGAGGTTCAGGGCTGGGTCTTCTGGAGGAACTGGGGACTGTCATCTGTTGCTTGCTATGCACAAGGCTGGCAATTTCCCAAGTAAAGCCTCTCTTGACTTTGGCTCAGGATTCTCATCTCACCAAAGTCTTTCTCCTCCTTCACGCTAAACACACCTCTCCCCTTGCTCTTCACTTCTACATTCCCTTCATTAATCAAGGCTCAATCCAAGACTGAGGTCAGTTGGAAGCCTGATGACATTCCTAAAAGGCTCAGGGCCATCCAGATGTCTGGACTCTGGGCACCCAGAGGGAATGTCATAAGGAGGCATTTCAAATATGGCAGCTTCCTGCTCCTCATTCTAATAACTCACGTTGTTGATCTCACCACGCTAGGAAGTGCACCTAACCCTTCTTAAAGACAAGGAAACTGAAGGCCAGAAACATTAAGGGACTTGCCCAAGGTCACATAGCTGCAAACGGGCTCAACCAAGACTCGGCTGTTTCTGAAGTTTCTGAACTCCAGTTTCTTTATCCATGAAATGAGCTCAGTGCCACTCTCTCTACCTCACTCACAGAGTGTGAGGGAAAGAAAGCACTTTGTGAAAGTGTGTGAAGAAAGCATTTTGTAAAACTTATTAAAGTGTCGTCAAAACATCAGTTATGATGATGATTGACTCATTGACCTTGGGCAATTCATAACTTCTCTGAAACTGAGTTTTTTCACCTGTAAAATGGGAATGTTATGCTCATGCCTTACTCACATTGGTGGTGTGAAGATAGTACTTTCTACACTGTAAAGCACCATATAAAAGGATTATGCTATGATAATAAGATGGCTATCATTCATGATTTTCTTTCATTCCTACTGAAAGAATGATACCAGATTTAGTTTAATTTAAAAACATTTCCAATAAAAATAAACTTAGGCATCCCACATGGCACCAAGGCGAGAAAACTAACTCTTCAGAGCCCTTCGGGTCCTTATGTGTAACTAGTTCTTAATAACCTTATTCATCTTCCATGCCAATAAACAGGAGCTGAGGGGGCCAGAAAAGAATCAGGTCAGGCTTAAAAGAAAGCATTTTAATCATTTAGAATGCCACTGCAGCCCTAATCCTGATTACTTCAGGCTACCTCTGAAAGCCAACTTCCACTCAATCCATTACCGTCCTTGAATATCAAGCCACTGATGGTCCTCATCCTGTCTGCTTTCCATTTTTCTCACTGCCAGAGTCTAGCCAGGAGCACTTTCCAACAACCTTGACAGTCAGTGCCTGATACAAAGGCTTCTCCTAGGCAACAGGAGCCCAGGAGATTGGACTCTCTCCCTCTTTCTCTGCGTACACGTCCCAGACATTTCAAAGTGAGACCCGGCTCTTGTGGTTCGTAGCGAAGCTGAAGCCACTGCTTAGAGTCTGGTCTCAGAGGAACATTGGGAAGACCCTTACAAACCAGAATTGTTAGAGGGGCTAGAAGGGATCTGGAATACACAAACATTTATTA